TTCAAGATAAACCGTTGGCACAGCGCGAAGAAAAACTCCAGGACCATTTTTCTCTGGAGCCGGTTTGCTTTGATCACTTGCTTTCACGCTGGTCTGATTACCGGTGTCATAGTAGCCAGTGTCCATGTACAATTTTCGCAGTCGACAGTCCAGGGGGGCATGTAAATTGAACTTCCAAGGTGATGCTGCAGGTGTGCTGCCTTCATGCACAGTTCACAGCCCGGCGCAATATCATGCTAGAGGCTGTGGCGTTGCGCGCCAGATAGATAGCTCGTGGCATCTCGTAGCATCTCGTGGCGTATGGTGTTATGCAATGGTGGTTCCTCTTTGGGTTTGCAGAGCTCACCCTCTTGTCACACTGCTTCTGTGACGTGCGAGGAGAGAACGTCGCGCTCCAGCCCATCTTCAGCTAGACAGGCACCAGATATTTAGCTCCATGTGTCCTGCGTGTGAAGTGGCACTGCGTGGTGCTGTTGTGCGTATGACACGTTAGCATTCTTCTTCTGTTCTTCTGGCCCACATGCGTGCCTCAAATGTTGCCGTGCAATCTGCTGGCAGGGACCGCTGTGAACTGTACTTGCTTCACATTCCTGAATGTGCGCGGAGTCGCTGTCCAGCGACCACGTTGTGGCGGTCGAAGCTGCTGAATCAAATTGTGGAGTCGAAGCCGGAGCCAGTTTCTGGCGAACACATGTGTGCGAGATCTGCGATGCCGATGACGACAGGGACGTCCTGCAAGCAAGGGCAATGTTTCACCAATGGTCAGCACGTTTGACGGCTGATATGGCGTTAACGAATCGCTTAGCCCTTTCCCCTCGCATTTAGACAGGTCAACTCATGGCCCTGGTTAGAAGCACACAAAAGTCAATCACCATGCATCGGGACCTGTCAGCATTGCAGGGGAAGGCTGTGCCTACAGTTGAGATCCAGCTGTGCCCAGGCACTTGTTTGCCCATCCTTGTCAAAACAATGGGTGCCTGCTGGATGGATCGTTCAAGGAACTCACAATACTGTGTACATTCGGCACTTTTTGTGCAAGTGTCAAGCAAGATTCGCGCTCAACTGCACTTACCACAGACAATTTGGTGTGTGTGTGTGTGTGCGTGTGAAGAGCCGCTGGCTTACATTGGCGGGCTCACCCTGAGCTCCGCGCCATGCTGGGCCTCCAAGCTGCACTCTGCTGTCGTTATACAGACGAAAAGCTAGTCATTGGATGAAAAGTGCCTGAAGATTCCGCCAAGAGATTTGCAACCAGGCCTGCGCCGACATGGTGCGGATTTCCTCAACATCGAGTTCTCGTTGGACCGAGCCAGGACGTGGGCACACAGAACAGTCCGAGCGTTCATAGCAGATTTTGGTTGAGTATGAAATGGATCGAGAAAGCATAGCTGTAAGTTGGCGCAAGCATCCGTAGGCTCACGGGCACAACATCATGACATGCCCTGCCACAATCCATGCAACCATGGAATCCCTTTGTCGGAGGGCGGCCTTCAAACACTCGGATCGAGATGCTGCGGAAGCTTGGCCTTTAATTGCGCAAGATTTAACTGTCTAAAGCACCGGGACTTCCAAAGAAAGGTTGACAAGCAGCAGCAGCAGCAGCAGCAGCAGCAGCAGCAGCAGCAGCAGCAGACGGCGCGCAACCGCCGCAGTCATCACCGCCGCCGCAAGGACAGGAACATACAACACGCACGATATCGGTGGCCATGGTCAGGCATGTCAAGCAGAAAAGCTGCTGTGTAGCATGGCATTGCATTACAGTAGAGCGGTGCAGTTCTCTCTTGAGCTTGGCTGTCACAGCAGGCAGCGCATTGTAGACATCAAATTGGTGACTAGGTCGCAGACCTAGCAACATGGTATTGTCTCAGACTCATAGCATAGTCTGCTCCTTGTCGGGTACTTTGTGGACTAAAGTATTGCCGCTCATTATTCAATCCTTATCGTTGTGGAATGAAGCATTGCAGAGCGTTGCGTACCGAAGGTTTACTGAGCTCAGTGGTCAATTTTTTGTTGAAGGCAAGGCAGCACAATACTAATGATGAGAAAGATGAGAGCACATAGAGAATTATAAGAAAGAAGAAGAAGAGAACAGTTTGTTGAAAGACGGCGGGTTTGGAGTTTGATGTCGTCACGTCTTTGTGACCGGCCTGTTCTTCGCAGCATGTTTAAGGAACAGCATGCGAAGCTATACCGTCGAGCAAGATCATCGCCCGCTCGAACACCTTGGTGGAGGGGCTGCGCACACCCAGCGGCCGCTTGCTCAGCTAATCTTGCTTATAAGGCGGACGCGGATAGGCTGGAGTCTGTCACGTTTTGGCATGCCAGGAATCGTCGTGGATGCCGGTGACAGCACTTGCTGTCGAGAAATTATCTGAAAGCCTGCACGAGGAGCTGAGCATGTGGTTTCCAGACCTGTTCTTTCAGCGATCTGCAATCCCAGGAGCTCAACATCTTTTTGCGTACGTTTGGGACAAGATTGGCAGCGCGAGAGGCTCTCAACAGTTTTTGGGGTCGCAGACCGGAAGATGCATATAGAACCTTACTTGTTCGCCGAATTCAATTCTCAGTATCAAATACCCTGACCCAAGCCAAATGCCAAGCTGCCCTCGGCCACCAGCTATTCTTGAGCCAGAATTCGTGAAGAGAATGCAGGGACGGGGGGGGGGGGCGGGGCGGCATGTTCAATGGCACGGGACTGCACATGAAATGTCAGCACAATGATAGCCCGTCTTCCCAGCCGCAGCATGCGCACAGAGAGGCTTCCATGGCAGAGGCAGTGGACCGCTGCGGCGAGTTAGCAAAGAGTGCACCTCGCCTTGCAGATTAGCCATGTTTCTTTGCCATTCAGAGTAGTTCCAGTCCCTAGCTATTTGTTTGTGCGAACAATGCTCAGGTAGAAGCGGAGCCTCGATGGCAGAACAGTAACATTTGATGCAAGGCTCTCTTGGACTGTGCGCATTAAGTGAACCCTCGTGTCTCCTCGAGGTGGTTTACAAAGGATTCTTGACTGGAGCTGTATAAGGGATCGATACAAGAGAACCTAGAGACTGATGCAGCAGCTTGACGTTTTTTTGTGTTCGGGGTCCAGTTGTCAGAGAATTTACCAAGCTGTGCCAGACGCTACTATAACTGCAGCTAAGGGTATGGGTCAAAGTAGCATCGACTCTTTCAGTCTAGCCAGGCCTGGTAGGGAGACTGTGCGTCCTGCGCAAGCCCAGCGCAGGTATTTGAGGGCGGCCCTAAGTTTTCTGAGGGTTGGACAAACGCTGACGTCGAGCGTGATTACCTTTTCTGCTTCAAGGACTTGAGGAGCAGAATGGAGAAAGCTTTGGCCGAGGCGCGCGGCTTGTTGTGAGTCATGCCAGAGAATCCTGTTGAGCGCGATGATTTAGTAGGGCAGTTCACAAACTCATCCCGCAAGGAGAGAGCGCGCGCCGATAAGGAGGTCGCACATTTGCGGCAGGCCAGGTTTCTGTACAGCATTTCGCCGAGTTGTCGATATTCTATTATTGTAAAAGGTTGCCGAGAGAAGCCGCGATGACTTGCGGCAGACGGTTGCTGTTCCCTGGCCTAGCAACACTAAACATGTTTCTGCGACAAGCAAGACAATGGGAATGAAGCGCTCGCGGGGTTCAGAGTGAAGTGCTGCGTTTCATTCACAACCCCAAGGCGCAGCAGCTGACGCTGCAGGATCTCACGCGCGACTTCCAGTCCAAGTGCAAGGAGGCTGGCTCTTGCTTACGGACAGCAACTCCTGTGTGGAGGTGCAAACAAACTGAACGACAAGTTGTACGCATGAGTAGCGCGGTCTTCATGTGCGTTGTTGTTGGTGCAGAGAAAAATTGAGGTGGAGGATCGGTTGAAGATGAGCCTGCGCCTTGCTTGCATGCCCTGAAAGAGAGACGGCAATAGATTGAAAGCAAGCTTGCTGACTCAGAAGCGGATGAAGTGGTGCTGAGGCTGCTATGTAATTCAGGGAAGGAAGCCTGTAAAAGTCCAATGGTTGAGTGATGTCAGGAATGGAGAGCTCTGGCCGCAACTTGCCAGGAAACGGAGGATATGAACGGACCACCATGGGTTCATATGGTTTCATAACGTTTGTTGCCGGGTGGTGGCGACACGGACTCAGCAACAAAAAAAGTGGATGTACCTCACCAAGCATTGCCGCATTGCCTTAGACTAGACATTGCCTTAGACGGCCAGTTTTTAACTTGCTTGTGGGTTATCATAAGCTGACACTCAGTTTTGTAATGTCACATGCTGCATCTATGCCGTGCTTAGCTCATGCTGCCTCACTAAGGCGAGCTCTCGTGCTCCAGCCACGCGAGAGCCTGCACAGAGAGGTAGCAAATCCTAGCATAGAAAAGCGACCGCCTGATGTTTCAGCGTTGCGCAGTTCTTTGTATGCATGCATCCTACTGGGGTCAGTGCTACCTGACATGGCTAAGGATCATGCTTCAGCTCCGAGAGGTTGAAAGTCAGCAAGCTGGCATCAACGCGTGGCTTGTCAAGTGCCGTTTTTGCAGCTTCTGCATTTCCCCCTGTTCGCTGTGCGGTATGCTTGCAAGCAAGCTCCATAGGCATGAAGAGCTTTACAAGTCAACTCAAACCTCAAGACGTATCAAGAGGCCACTCTTTGGCTCGGACTCAGGTCTGTTGATAGCTTGCAGCCGCGCCTTGGAGTCTGTGAGGCCCTTCTTGACTTTGCCATTTTCATTTCGAGCGGGTTGCCTGGCAGATTGCCGGTCCCCTGAGGCGAAGCTCCACGCTCAGGACGACAACGTTGACCGACCGTAGTAGCTTTGGGAGTCCGCCTCTTTGAATTGGCATCCATCTTGCAGACGTAGAAGGCTTTTCCACCTTGCAAACAAAGAAGGGTTTTCTGTTGTAAGCCGTCGATCTCACGAACCCTGCAGTGCTGCACAGGTGAGGAGGAGGAGGTAGGAACAAACGTATTGGCGACAATGCTTGCCCAGCTTGAACACAGATGCCTTGACCAGGAAGCTCTTGTGGACAGCCTTGCCAAGCAGATGGGCGAGGCTTCAAAAGCCTTGGTGGAGATGTCAACAAAAGCAGTGTCTTGGAATTGGCAATGGCTTCGCGTCAGCGATTTCCTGCGTGCAGTTCACTTCAATATCCAAGGTTGGTGGAAGCGCTCTCGAAAACTTGCACCAGAAACTTCTCGCTGCTGAGCGCCGAATCCATGCTGTGGAAGTGGACAGCTTGGCGGATCGCCAAACTCAGGTCCGCACAGTAAGCTTTCAAGTTGTTAAGCGCAAGTCCTTTTGTGGAAATCCCTAGTGCTGTCAGGATCAGCGCGTTGGCATGCAGCTGGCTGGCGAAAAGGCTGGAGCAGAGTTCGCTGACAACTATTACCACTTCCAATTGATATTGTGGCAGACAGGAAGATAGGGCTCCGTGTTGGCAAATGTTGAGGAGGGACGTGTGCGGAAACCGTATGCTGAGCTGTTCGCCATTGCTTCTGCACATCCCTGGAGATCTTAGCTGCGCTGGCCCCACAAAGCTCCAGTGTGCAGAAGGAGGGCTCGCTTTCCCAGCAGCTCGGAGACCTGGCTGCAGAACCAAGCAACTCTCGGAACACCACTTGGAGCCTTGCATGGGTTGATGGGTGGCGGGTGCCTGTGAGTCAAGCCCCGGTCATGCCAGGCCTGGGTAAGATTTTCGGTGACTTCCGCCGTGGGCTTCGTGGCGCTTCGAACACGCAGAGCACTTTACCATGCAGCAATGCCAGGACCTGATTAAACGCTCAACTGCAACCCAAGTGTTTAAGCTGCAGGCATGCCGCAGTTCAAGACAAAAAGCCAGAAATCAGCGAGCAGCAGAATTCCGCAGGAATTGCACTGCTTGGCAAGCTTAGTGTCACGCTTGGGTGGACTAGTGCTTACATCATGCAGCCATACCCAGACGCGTGGGTGCATGTGCTGGGTGCAGGGGGACAAGTGCCACAACCAAGCGGCTTCCAGTTGGCGGAGTGCGACATGCAGGCCATTTTGGGATCAGAAGATGGACGGCTTCCCCTTGCAGAGCCACAAATAGCTTGCAGCAGTGTGCTTGCAGGGCAGGTTGTATCTCCAAGCAAAGCCCGCGAGCCTCATCCGCAAAGAGGAAACTTTGACGGCACCATTTCAGTGGAGGGTTGTCGCTCGAAAGGGCGGTTGAAAAAGAATCCATTGTCAAAGCTTGTTGGGAGCAGTATTCGTCAGCATGGTCCGTGAACGGGCAGAGCTTGAAGAAGCTGTGTGGGCAGCTCACCTAAGGCTGCTGAAACAGAATCGGCTGCGCTGAGCCCAAGGACTGGTATGCAGCTCTTCAGGGAAAAGATGCATTGAAAAAACAGTGAGTTCTGATCGAGTCCAAGCCTGGGCCGGGAGGAAATGCTTAGGCAGATGTGTTAGCCGGCAGGCAAGATTAAAGTCCACATGAGACCTGACCAAAGTGCAGTCTTTGCACACTTGTATGCCATACATGTGCGCTCGCATGTCGAAAACTCAACGTCATGGATTCGCAGGCATCTTGAGAAGGCATCGGGTAGAAGATGCGGGGCATCTGGGCCTTTCGAGCTACTTGTCTCTCACAAGACTGTCATGTGTTTGAGAAACACCAGCTTCTCCTGCTGTACTGGTCTTTGGATTTCTGTGCGGAGCAGGGCTTGATGCAAATTCTGCGAGATTGTTAATGCTTGCGCTAGCCCAGGCTTTGCATACCATAAAGTCCGAGTTCACTGATTCTTGGTGGTCCTCCAATGTTGACCACCGCTCGTTGGATTTGTTATATAGCCTGCCAAAGCCTCCAGAAAACTTCTGGTAGCAGGCTGCGTAGAATGTTGGCCTTGAACGGATCGTCATAGGAACCTGGAGATGACTTTGGATGCTGGTGGTCAAGGTCTTGCGTGCGTCCTGCGCCGAATTCGATATGACAGGACTTGTCTTTTTGGAGTGGAGTTTGGCACATGGTTACCGTCTCTCCGCGATGCTTCCTGATCCTTTGCAGCACCAGACTGTGTGGGGAGTCCACGCCAAAGGAAGCTTGACCCCCTGGCAGCTCCTCATGTACTGTTATTTGGCAACGCACGGCAAAATCAATAGTGCAGTTCTGCAGCGGCCGAGATGTTTCCATGTGGCCGTTAATTAGTCCCGAGCTTCTGCATTTGCTAAGTTGCATGTCTCCGTTCATCAGATGGCCATCACAAGGTTTTAAGGCACTCGGGCTTGCAAGTCAACATGCACTTTGTCAGCTCATGCCCCATCATTTGCCAGGGGGCATTGGCATAGAAAAGTAATGACTCAATGCTACTTCGACGAAAAGACAAGTAGCCTTTGATCCGGGTAGTTCCAGGCAATTTGTTCTTGCCATGTCGGTGGAGTTGCCGCACCTTCCACCACAAAGGTGCCAGAGAGCGGAGAAGAATCCTACATGGTGGGTCGGGTCTTGTTGATTTGCAGAGAGTAGTGGTTCTGCGGTTTTCCCAAGCCTTGCATGAGTTGACAGAGCAGCCCTTTTGAGGAAGAGTGCTGACTTTCATAACAGGCAGTCGTCAGAGGAAGGCTCTGGATCCCCGGGACAGGCGTGCCAACTTTCCAGTTCCAGTCTCCATGTCCTGGGACCGCTAGCCGTTTTGGTTTCGAGGTGCTTGTTCCTGATGCATCAGGCCGCGCGACTCGGCTCAGACCTCAACTGCTTCAGGTAGGATTCTCCCCTAGTGTGGAGCTGCAACAGCAGTCCATGAGGCTGACCGAAGCCCGGATCGACCCCAGGCCCTGGACATGGTCAGCGAAAAGCGACAGCGTTCCAGACCGGTAATCGTGTAGGTTCCAGTCAACACGCACGCGAACTCCGCAGCACTGGCACCTGACACATCAGGCGGCAATTGAGCTTTACTGGCATGAGAAAATATGAGGGCTGAGCCAGGAGCACAGCCCAAACTCTCGAGATGCAAGGGCGGCCCTCATGCAGCGCGTGGCCCAGAAATACATTAAGAAAGATGAGCTAGATACTGGGCGCGGCCACAGACAGTCTCTAGTCGCTGTCAGTTCAGGATGTATGTCACGGGCAGCTGCGCTCCAGTAAAGCCCAGTGGGCGCGAGTGGGCCTTACGCCTGAGCGTCTCGGGGCGGCGGCCTCGGCTCAGATTTTTTATCCGGAGAGCTAGTAAATAATCATAGTATAATATAGTATAATCATTACAGTATAGTATAACATAGTATAGAATAGCGTATCATCACATATTTATATGTGTGGTAGTACCGGGAGGGACGGCAAAGTGTGTGTGTGTGTGCTAAGGGAACAACGAACAAAAGAAAACCCATCGGGGCTATATCATCAGGGAATATATTGGGGTTATATAGGGATAATGGAAACTTGTTTCGATCCTATGGTGAGGAAGTGGGTGCTTCTCCAATTGTCAGCGGTGGCTCAGCACTCAGCCGTTGTAGAACAATCCATGACTGGATGCGGAATCCACGAGCCAAGTGGAGAATGCGAATTCCGGCATCAGCCTATAGCCTTGTTAAAAATATTGCTTGAACTGCGGATTTGGGCGTGCCAAGGCGCTGGACCTTGCTACACTTCTCGGACACATTGCAGATGTTGGGCCGACAGCTGTTTGGGCCAGCAGCCCTCCGACCCTGTCTCATGCCGCGCCCTTACCATCTCTAGAGTTTTGCACAAGCCGTTAGCCGGTTTATGACAGCATGGTTGATGTGAATCATTACATGCAGATGCTGAGTTATGCTTCTTGCACCTTCGCGTAAAGCTGCAAACTCTGCTGCTTTCAGAGGCAATGAAGCTTGTCTTCTTGCTGGCTGCTTAGTCAGTTTGAGGCTACGTAGTGAAGCAATGTCGACAGCGGTCTCACCTCTTCACACTCTACGACATACCTTTAACGTTTGTTGGGCCTGCAGCTTCAGATGGTAGCACATGGGTTTGCGCGTCATTGCCAACTGCCTGCTTCAAGGTCTGCCGTGTACTCGGCGGATGTTGGGCTGCGCATCTATGGCTTCAGCACACAGGCAATCCGAGTTGACGGTTCAAGTCTTGTGCGCTTGTGATTGGGTGAATTGGGTGTCGCCCTTTGCTGGCAGGTCTTTTTCTCCAAGTGCTGGAACTGGCGCGGTCCCCATGGCGATTCATTGCTGGGGCTCGGTCGTGCTTGTCAGAACAGACGGTGCATGCTACGAGGTTTGACGCTGCCATAGTGGCCCTGACAATTGCTGGCGCTATACAAGCAATCACTGAATCTGCTGGAAAGACAGGACCATCTCTGCAGCTCACTGCAGTCCACCCTGCTGCTACCCGAAGCCTTTGTTGCGCGCCAGTCTGCAGGACCTTTCAGTCTCCTGCGGCTGTTCCGCGTCTTCAGGTCAGAGCTTTCGACTTTGCCATCCCCTGCTCTAGTAGGTTGCTATGTTGCTAAAGATTCAGTAGAGTGCGCTGGATAGAAACCAAATGCTTACCTTCATTCCAGCGTGTGGTGCACGCAAGTCCCAAAGCCAACATGTTATCTCATGGGTAGCAGTACCAGCCATTGTTGAGATATCTTGGCAAGCTAACCCTCCTAAAATGGCATGGCATTTACAGCCTCGGGCATCGAGGAGACGCTGTCGGGTCACAAGTCACTTCCGCTGACTGCTGCAGCAGGATCCTACGAATTGTGCGCATCGCTGTTTTTGTCAGCCATGCTTTCCCTCGATGTTGCTCCTTGGCTGCAGCTGTTCGAGGCGGTCAAGCGAATTAGGAGGTTTGCCACCGAGAAGAAGGCTTGAGTTCGTACGGCAGCACCACAGAATCGTAAAGATCGCCACCATGACAACCGGTGCCGGCCACTGGGCCATTAAGCGTTGCACGGGAACGAGTAGGGATGATGGCGGCAGTTAGATCGACAGAAGCGAGGTAGGCGGTTGGTTGAAGTCGGCCTGCGTTTCCTCCACGCAACCATGCGCAACACGTCCAAGTCTAAGATGCGTGTGTGTAGAAGTATACTGTAGGTGTAGAGAACGAGAGGCGTATTAGCAAGCAGCAGCTAACCCCACACCTCATGCCCTATACTCCCCCCTATGCTTTCACCCCATTTC